CCCCAAAAAGCTGTGCCCAAAGTAGGTAGAAAGGCCTAAATATAAATTACATCAAGATGATTTTCTCCACCTCCGATCAGTTGTTCGTGTGCTCCAGAACTGTTAGCAGTCTGAAACATATAGTTCATAAATATTTTTTGATTTTTGATTTGCAGAGTGCTTATCTACAAAAGTTTTTCATGCCGCAACGCCATCTTGAACGTCAAACATCAAACTGCCCTATTGAATGCTTACAGAAGTGAATCAAGAGACAGTAATAGTCAAAATCTGGACTGTGTCCTCTTCATTATATTCAATGTTTGAAGCTTTTTGAGACAGGATTTGGTGCATTTTTGCTATTAATCTAACCAATCACGAGCCGATAATAATGAAATTTTGAACTATTCCTGGCTCTTGATTGCATTTAGAATAATAATTGTGAAACCATCTGTTGTGAAAATGATTTACATTCAACAGTATATCATTGTTACCAGAGTTGTTTAATTTTGTCATTTGATACATAGAAAAGTGATTTATAAATTCTTAAATAGAACATTCACTGGATTGATCCCCTCCACTTTTTGTTTTAGTTCATGACTACACCGCTGTGCGCCCATATCGCCGTTTCTCAACGTCCCCCTCGTTTTTATTCTAATCTGTGACTTCACCGGTGAGTTAGCTATCTTTGTTTACTGGATAGGAAATGACAATGACCGACATAGAATGGTGGATATAAAAACCAGTCATAAAAACGCAGGTCCATTCGACATCATAATATAATACATGTCATTTGAATTAATTTGTTGAGTGCATCGTCATTGATTGTTTTGAATTCCAAGACTGTGAAAGAAATAATAAGTGCATCACAAGCAGCTGGTATAAGAGTTGTTGCCACAATGTGTGACCAGGCGGCAAAAAATAAATCGATCAAAAGCAAATTGCAGCCACAGACCAGGGAAATCTACATCAAGAACAATACAGAAACAAAAAATTTGGTTTTGTTGGAGATAAACAACCTAGTGCCACTGTATGATGCTCCATAATACATGCTCGAGGGAATTATAAATTACTTGATCAAATATGACAGTCATTCAAACGGAAAAATGGACATTTTCAAAAAGCAAATTGGAAAGTTTTTCAGTTAGCTTATGAGTCAGATACGCCAAATCATCTAGATTATAGACTATTTTATTCATTAAGTGATTCTCACAAATATATGAAAATTAAATGTATAAAATTTTAGTTTATGAAGTTTTGAAACACTGTTTTATTTTGAAATAATTGAAATGTCAAACGAGTCATTTGAAACCGAGATTCAAACGGCCCGCCAAATATTAGTTCAATGACTACACCGCTATGGCAGCACCGTCGGAAATGTCACTGGGTGACTACAACAGAAGTGAGCGTTCTATATCAAGAATATAAATCACTTTTCTATGATTTGATATGTTATTGTCATCTATGATTGTCATTGCATTAATCAGTTTCCCCTCGTTTTTATTCTAATCGGTGAATTTATGGATGAGTTAGCTATCTTTGTTTAGTAAATGGAAAATGACAATGACCGACATGGAATGGTGGATTCATCGGTAAAGTTTGATGAGAATAACGCAGTGTTTGTTACACAGAATGACTGCGTTATCGGAACACTGATTTTCACTGTCAGAAGTTTTTCCGCCATGCTTGGCCGACATCACCCTCGCATCGCGACTTTTCGCAAGAAAAGTAATTGAGCCTGAAATTCGCGATTGGTGTTTTTCCGGAGCCTTTAATGAGCCTTTAATGTCTGTACAAGTGGAATTGCAATTTTCGGATTCCACAAATTCCTGCTCAGCAACGAGTGAATATGGCGTTAATGCCATTCATTGGTCTCTCAAGTTGAAGGAAGTTGTACCACATGTTGTATTGTTCGTCGATTTTTAATTGATACTTGCGGTATGAGGAGCGAGGGGGTGTTTCATATGGCAGAAAGAGGTGTGACGTCAGGTAACCATTGGCGATCTAATGTAGGGAGCCACCAGCTCATATTCCGTCCGAGTATCAGATTAAAATCGACGGACTTTACTGTGTCACTAGAAACAAACACCCGTACTTACGTATGAAAACTTGACATTACTGATTATGAAAAATCTTTGGTCAGATATTATATTGGGACACGATTTTCTACATCATCATTCTAAATTTGAAATGTCATTCAATGGAAATCTGGGCTTGGACTCTGTAACGGATAGAGATCGTTATCCCTATCGCTATGGCACTTACCGTCTTCTCTCTTATCGAAATCAATATAGAGGGAATATCAATAGAGATAGAGACAATATCTCTATTCGTTACAGAGTCCCAGCCCTGTATACTTTGAAAGTATGCGTTTTGATGCAAACAGATATTACTTCTATGCATCTCTATTCACGAATCTCAATAACACTTGCAGACCTATAGTTATTAAATCTAAAAAACAATCACTAGAAGATCTGAAATTTATCGAACAAGAAGTCCGGATAATGCTTTCTGAAAAGAAAAGTAATTCGCCTAGGAGAGCTCAAGCTTTAGTCACTTTCAGTACAAATCATAAGAGACGAATGGTAATCAACTATGCCCAGACTATAAACAAATTCACTGAACTAAATGCATATCCACTTCCGAACATAGAAGACATTATTTCAAAAATGTCAAGACAAAGTTTTCAGCACTATAAATCTAAAGAGTGCATATCACCACATTCCAATTTTCGAACATGAAAAACCTTATACAGCGTTTGAGGCGTGCGGCGAACTATATCAATTCACGAGAGTTCCTTTTGGTGTTTTCAAAGAGTTGTTGAAAGAAAGATGTCTAAATACTTTTTTTATACATATTAGGTATTTTTATTGGTAGTAGAAAAATAACTGTATGCAATATGTGTGTAAAGCACCTTTTTTCACTTTTAGACACTTTTTAAAACTATATTTTATGTCCGATTGACCAATAAAGTTCTATTTATAGAACAGTCTTGCGTCGGATATGAAATTGAAAATCAACAAATCAAACGTGATCCTGATCGACTTCGTTCATTCTTAGAATTGCCTCCACTAGGAGAATATTCTTCAATAAAACGAGTATTGGGAATGTTTTTCCATTATGCGAAATGGATTCCAAGATTTTCGGATAAAATCAGACCACTTGTACAAACACAATCATTTCCTATTTCACAAGAAGCTCTATCGACTTTCAAAGCTCTGCAAGAAGATATTTCAAAAGCTGTTGTCATTGCCATTGATGAAAATATCACATTCATAGTAGAAACAGACGCATCATTGGAAGCTGCTTATCACAAAATGGAGCTCCTATAGTATTTTTCTCAAGGACACTGTCGCATTAGTGAATAATCAGTTTGTTATGTCAAGTTCTTTATCTAATAAAGCCAATATTTTGGTATAATTCGGATGTTCTATTCATCATACCATCAAAACTTGGATTATTGAAATTCAATAGTCCAAATCTTGTAACAAAAGTTTTTCAAATATTTAACTAAAATGCAAAGAGTTACTTACCTACTTTCAAATCTTGCATTGAAAGAGGTGAGTCTTCTTAATATAAACTCCTAAATATGGAACTTCAAATCTTCAACTATTTACATAGATACTTTTAAATTTTGTAATAAAAAGAGAGAAGTTTTTTAAAACTTCCAAAAACTATGAAAAATCATAAAACTGCATAGTGTCAAGAGTAAGTTTGTTTTGTTTTGATTTGAATCAATAATATCTATTTATGAATTTTTTTTGTTTCTTTTACCGACAGAAAAATGAAATGTTTATTCAAATCTTGCTTAAAATATGTATAGTTTTTTGTGGTTATCAATCATAATAAATTTTAAATTCATTTTTTGCCCATTAAAATGCTGCTAAAATTATTCACAAATGACTTTAGAATTGCCAATAACTATTCATTTATGAAATATTGGTAACTTTAGGTATGCCTAATTAAAAATATCGTTAAAACGTACAGATACAGGCGATAATTTTAATTGTTGCAACAAAATAATTGGAATTTCCATCTATAGATATATTCTGAACAGGAATAAATTTTGACAGTTGTTTATAATCCGGAACAATACAAATTTCAATGTGAGAATCTTTCGTTATTGTATATTATTTAAATCACTGAAATTATGTCTGAAGGTAAGTAATTAGAATTTCGATTGATTTTTGCTTGGAAAGTCCTGCAGGATATGGGATTTCATAAATATTTATCCAAGAATTTATTATTAAATACTTCCTGCTCTGGGTAGGTGAATTATAATCTTGTTACAATACTGTAAACAAATATATCAATAATTTTTAATAACTTATTAAATATGTACTAGTTCCGATGAAAACACATTTCATGTGTTAATAACTGTAATAATAAATATTTGATTTATTGAGGGAAAATTCAGAAAAAATCACTCTGAAATCAATAAAGCACTAACTAAATAAGGTGAATAATTACATATATTACAATTTTTCAGGTTTAATTACTTTATAAAAACTAATAATTATGTTTAAATGCAATCTAATTACCTGCTTACTTTTTAGAGTGAAAAATAAGTATTTTAATTATAAAAATAATCTCCTTTTTCCCTGGAATTTTGTATATTTTTTTTAGAATTTTTTTGAGCCTAAAAAATTCAATATAATTAGTTAATTAATATTTCTTCAAGCTAATTATAATGGCAATATAATGATTATTGGGTGTTTTTATCTAGTTTGTAGCCCGAATCTCTATTTAAACAAAATAAATAATTTTTTAAATTATTATTAATTAATTAAGCAAGCTGATTACATTGCTAGATCAATCAAAGCAAAATAGAACTATTGAACTCAGATAGAGTAACTTCAAATCCTATTCTATAGTTATTAATTTATTAATAATTCACCCTCTTTCTATAAGAAAAATCCAATTTTTCTGCAAATCCATATATCCGAAGGCCAGAAACTCCCTGGACGAATAATTTTGATAAATAAAAGCGCTCGACGGCCTCCGCGCTCGCCAGACCCAAGTCACTTGTATGCGAATTTCGTTCAGGCAAACAAATAGTACTAATAAGTATACGGAGAGCGCGACTTTTTTTGAATAAATGTGTATATTAATATTGGATTGTTTTTTGGACAAAAATGTAAAACAGTGGTTTTATTGTGTGTAGGATTAAAAGGATTTTTGTTTTTTGAAAATTTTGGTTTAAATAAAAATTTGGTAAATCTGGAACCTAAAAGTAAGTAGGTACATTAAATTATTGTTAACAATATAGTTGTTTTGTAGTTATATTGCAGTCAATAACCGATTTTTTTTGTCAAGTTTTGATTAGATTACTAAACAAATAAATCACACCTAATTAGTGCATAAACAAAATTAATTAATTAAATTGTAAAATGTTTATAATAATAAATCGTATAAACATGATCTCTTTGTCCCTTATCAGGTTTTTTATTTAACACTGAACTAAATAATTATTTATAGACACCCCAAGTACTAAAGTATGAGATGATAAAATTATTACTTATTATTATTATTTAGTACTTATTATTGATGATAATGTTCATTGGAAAATTTATTAACAATTTCATTCAAGTTTTACAATAATTTAACCAGAATTTATTATTATTATTTTTTTTTTGAAGTTTTGTTTTTTGTTTGTTTAATAATCTTAAATTGAGACTCTAAAACTTTCTTAGACTGTCCTGGAAAATATTTGGTTTTTATTTTGTTTTGTGGTTCACTGTCTGCAATGGACTATAAAATTGAGAACTACATGGATGCCACCTTAATACACTATAACCATTGTCTCTTTTAGATTCCTTTAAGTATTGAGTCCATTACAATCTGGAATGTTACAGGCGAGTTTTTAAGACCAAATGGCATTCTTACATAATATCGATCCCTGCGGCATGTGTGCTTTTCTCTTATAGTTAAATTTCTATCTGAATACAAATATGTTTTTATTCGTGAAGATGAAGCCAGTTATTAAAAGTAAAAAGACTCTTCTATCTATTGAAAGTTTTCGCAATATTTTCTATTGCTTCGTCAGTCATAAGATCATGAGTACTTATTTAATATATTTAGATTTCATTAAGATTGTATAACAGTGTAGAAAAATGTAGATTTCAAAATTTTTTTCATTAAACGTAGACAATAATCAAAAAAAATTTTAAATCCAGAACAATGATTGCTTGAATCAACGAGACCTATATTTCTTGCTCACTCGATATCAACATTTCAGTAGCTTTTTATAGAATAATACTTTGGAATACATGGAACAATTAGGTGGAAAACTCGTGCAATGGACTATAAATTAAGAACTATATAGATGCCATCTTAATACACTAACCATTTTTAATTTTATATTCCTCTAAGTATTGAGTTCATTAAAATCTGGAATGTTGCTGGCGACTTTTTAAGACCAAATGGCATTCTCACATACATTTCTATAACTTTGTTTGGGCAATTAAGAGCCAAACCTGATAAAACCTGGCAACTTCATGCCTTTTAGATTCCTCTAAGTATTGAATCCATTACAATATGGAATATTGCTAGTGAGTTTTTAAGACCAAATAGCATTCTTATATAGAAAATTTCTATAACGGTCTCGGCAATTAAGAGTCAAACCTGATAAAACCTAGCACCTTCATGATAATAATCTTAAATTGATACTAAAATTTTCTTAGACTGTCTTGAAAAATATTTGGTTTTTGTTTTGTTTTGTGGCTCACTCTGTCTGCAATGGACTATAAACTTGAGAACTATAAAGATGCCATCTTAATACATTAACCATTGTCCCTTTTAGATTCCTCTAAGTATTGAGTCCATTTCAATCTGGAATGTTGCAGGCGAGTTTTTAAGACCAAATGGCATTCTCACATATCCCTGCGGCAACCCCATGTGTGCTTTTTGTGGACCTATTAGGTTTCCATAGAACGGATTTTTTATGGTTATATTTATATTTGAATACATGTTATATATATAAGGTGGACTCAAAAAAGCCGGAATTTTGTTTTTGAGCTGTAACTTTTTTTGCTGTTGACCAATTTATTTCTGGATGGTTTGGAAGAGAATTGAACAGGCTAACGAATCAAGGTGAAACTTTTAAAATTTGAGAAAAAATCGAAATGGCGGACTTCTTCAAAAAATATCTAGTTTTGGATATGAAAAGGTGATATTCGATATTACAAAAATTTCAATATTTCACTTAGTTCCCAACCGATTTTTCCTGTCGAGACCTTAAAATGTTCGCAAAATGATAAACTTTAAGAATTCATCAGAAAAAGTTATACAGGGGGTCACAAAAAAGTTCCAGCGCTATTCAAAGTTAGATAATTTATGAAGAAGTCTGCCATTTTGAATTTTTCTCAAATGTCAAAAGTTTCACTTTGATTCGTTAGCCTGTTCAATTATCTTTTAAACAAGCCAAAACAAAAGGAAATTGCTCAATAAAAAACAAAGTTACAGCTCAAAAAAAAAATCCAGTTTTTTTGAGCCTATATATTCAATAATCCATTCATCCTATATATTCAATAATCCATTCATTAACCCCGCTGGCTTCTTTCAACTTCTCTGTAAGAATTTCCAATGATACATTATCATAAGCAGTCCAAATGTCTAAAAAGGCACATACTATCACTTCATTATTGGTAAATGTTATGTAAATTGAATTAACCAAAATTACCAGATTGTCTATGGTCCCTTTCTAAACCCATTTTGGACTAAATTAAAATAATTTTTTTTCTCTAAGAAATGTTCTAAACGTGTCTTACCCATGCTTTCCATTAATTTTCCAAGGCACGATGTCAAAGCTATTGGCCTGTATACTTTAAAGTCTTCAGAATCTCTATTATGGATTTTAGATTTCTCTAAATATTGAGTCCATTATAATCTGGACTGTTGCTGGCGAGTTTTCAAGACCAAATGGCATTTTTACATATAGGAAATTTCTATAACTTGGTCTCGGCAATTAAGAGCCAAACCTAATGGAACCTGGGCACCTTCATGATAATAGACCTCTTGCACTCAATCAAAATTAGGTATATAATTTATCTGTAACGAAAGTGTGTATTTTATGTACTACGTAACAATATGGTTGGTTAATTTTTTAAAAAATCTTGAAGTCCGAAATTGAAAGACAAAAAAGCAGATTATTTGAATTTTGCGCCAGATTTTTGCACCAATCAAAAATTACTGACTGCCAAATTGCCATGTTCCAAACGAATCTTTTCTTTTTCTTTTTGAACATATCGGACAAAAAAGGAAGCATATATTTATCAAAATCGCGGTACAGCCCTACTTCTGACTTGAAACTTAAGAGAAGAACGACATCTCTATTAATTGAAGTATCGACTAGTATCGACAATTTTCTTTCCTTGTCTATAAATGCGAATTAAACAAAGAAATCGATATCTGTACTAATCCGGCACAGTATAAAGTACGAAAACGATAAAAGCGATTTTTGTTTACTATTAGCACATAGGTCAGTGACTCCTGACTTTTACAAACTTGGTTCATCCATTCTATTACAAACAAAATAAACAATAATTAACAACAAAAAACAGTAGGCTGGGGCAGTGTAACTATAGGCGTAAAAATGTAATTATTATTTTTTTTTTGACATATCAATGCGGTAAAATTTTTTTCCTACGACTGCCTAGAAAGCTATTAAAAACGCACTACTAACTTACCTAGAAAATCGATTATTTCGCACAGCGTGCGAAAAGTACATTTCACACGCTCCGACCGTGCGAAAAGTACTTTTCACACGCTCCGACCGTGCAAAAAGTACTTTTCACACGCTCCCGAGCGTGCGAAAAGTACTTTTCGCACGCTAAAATATAATTGACACTTCCATTGAATTTTTGTTCTACAAGCAAATCTGAGTGTATTCAGCGTACGTACCAAAATTGTTCGTTGATTATAATTTCAAATAATAATTTTTCAACAAAAAAATAAATAATTAAATCCCACTGTGAATATAGTTATAGTTATTTCGCAGTCGTAGAAAAAGTATAGTGTGTAACGCGTGTGAAACGCACTTTTCACACTCGTGGGGTTTGTGCCACTCGCCTGCGGCTCGTGCCACCAAACTTCCCCACGCGTGTGAAAAGTGCTATTTTCAACACTTGTTGTACAATATACTATTCCGCAATGATATGCGTGCGGGAAAACTAATTTTCCGCACGCATATCAGTGCGGAAAATCGATTTTTCCGCACGGCTGTAGGAAAATGATGTTTTTGCCTGTGAAAATTTAAAAAAGTCTTCAGGGAAACTGGAAGGTATGGAATACAGACACATAAAAATTATACTTGTGTCTTATTTCCCATAAACCACTTAAAAGAAAAATAATAATAATTTTAATAGTTAGGTAATTATTGTTTATTTTGTTTGTCCGATGGAAGATGGAAGAGTTTGTAAAAACCGATTCCAGAAACTGGCCAGAGGTGAGCATAGATATGCCTTCGGAAAAAAAATCACATGAAGGGTAGGTACTCGGTAGATAGGTATTAGTAAAATGCAGGTGGAGTAGAGCAACCTTCTACAAATAATGATTCCCTTATATGCTTATTAAAATTTATAAGCACACACTATAAATGAGTACCTAAGGTATTCAATTATGAACGACATAATGGCCTTATGCTCGGTTTTATTGTTTGTTTCTTGATGGTTTGTGTGCCTTCTCTGCCTTCTGTCTGTTTTGGAGTTTTGGACAGGCTAATAATAAATAAATAAAAATAAATATTGATTATAATGAATTGAAAAGTTGGGTTAAGTTTTCCATAGGAATGAGAATCGATTCCATATTCCGTCCGATACTTACAAATCTGTGGATTCGATATATCGATTTAATTGTTCCCGCCTGAAAAAGTTTACATGAAAACCATAACATCTGGGCAACACTGGCAAAAACTGACCAATCAGAAATTTGAAAAAATCGGAAAAAAATACAGTTGAGCTTAATTTTGACTCCTCTTTCCAATAAGCAAATAAAAAAAATTCATGCAAGAGGTCCATTATTTCAAATTGAGACTCTAAAACTTTCTTAGACTGTCCTGGAAAATATTTGATTATTTGGTTTTTGTTTGGTGGTTCACTATCTGCAATGGACTATGAACTTGAGAACTATAAAGATGCCATCTTAATGCACTAACCATTGTCCCTTCTAAATTCCTCTAAGTATTGAGTCCATTACAATCAGGAATGTTGCAGGCGAGTTTTTAAGACCAAATGGCATTCTTACATATATTGATCCTTGCGGCAATCCCATGTCTGCTTTTTGTGGACCTATTAGGTTTCCATAAAACGGTTCTTTTATAGTTATATTTCTATCTTAATACAAATACACTGCCGAGCATAAAATTAGGGTCATCCCATAATTTGCAAGCAAAACTTGGGACAAAACAACAAGAACTTTTTTAAATTCAAGCAACTACGACAAAATCATCGCATAAAGTTATGGGTTTCTCCTGTTAGACGTCTTTATTATAGATTAAATTTAATTTCCCGGGAGGATACATATTTGAAGTATGTTGTTTAAATGAAAATAAGACTGTAGCGGATTAGAAGATAAATTGAAAGACTTTTTTCAGACAGATACTTGTTAGAAGAACAAAGACCCTGACTGCTTGAATCAACGAGACTTATATTTCTTGCTTACTCGATATCAACATTTCAGCTCTACAAAATCCAGAAACTTTAATAATTGCTCAATTTTATAGAATAAATACTTTGGAATACATGAGAAAACATACTAGGTGGCAATTAAAAAACTTGTGCAATGGACTATAAATTGAGAACTATATAGATGCCATCTGCCATCTTAAAATACTAACCATTTTTCATTTTATATTCCTCTGAGTATTGAGTCCATTACAATCTGGAATGTTGCTGGCGACTTTTTAGAACCAAATGGCATTCTTATATATAGAAAATGTCTATAACATGGTCTCGATAATTGATAGCCAAACCTAATAGAACCTGGCACCTTCATGATAATAATGTTAAATTGAGACTCTAAAACTTTCTTAGACTGTCCTGAAAAATATTTGGTTTTTGTTTTGTTTTGTGGTTCACTGTCTGCAATGGACTATAAACTTGAGAACTATATAGATGTCATCTTAATACACTAACCATTTTTCATTTCATATTTCTTTAAGTATTGAGTTCATTACAATCTGGAATGTTGCTGGCGACTTTTTAAGAACAAATGGCAATCTCACATATATTTCCTGTTATTATTCTTGGCTGTTCTTATGGTTTGATTCCAGATTGTATTTTCTGTAGATTTTTGTCTGGAGAAAACTTGAGAACAATATTCAGACAATTTTTCGTCAGGAATTTGGAAATCCGGGAGTCTAGAATAAAAAATATAATGAATTCTCAACTTTTTTCTATTCTAGTCTCTCCAGCTTCACAACCAACGATAACGCCATTTTTAATGCATCTCTTGCTAATATATCGTCATATATCAATTAAATCGTGTGTAAACAAAGATGAGTAAAACAAAAATCTTCTCCAATTAACTTTGTCTGAAATTTTTAATTCAAACTGGTTTGCCGAGATGTTATAAATATAAGAATTATATCAAACATGAAATTGTTCCTAATCAACATCAGAAATTCAAAAATAAAAACGACCGATTGACGTACTTTTAGTCGGGTTAATAAGGTTATCATTGGACCATTTGTCATGTCAATTATCGATTTTTTATTTTAAAAAGTTTACCGAAATTATATGAGAGTTCAATATTATAAAAGAAAAATTACCTACTGTCTAAAGTGTAAAGTTCTATTATTAATTAAAAATTAATTTCATACATATCATCAATGATTGATTCGATTGAAACTTATTACAACACTGAATTATAGGCCTTATTAACTATGGAAAAAATTAAAATATAATTATATATACAACAAACAAAGCAAAATTAACCGGAATTTGAAGATAAATCAAGATAACAAATAAATTATCAAACTCAACAGTCAAATAAGTGTGGGTTAAAACAGTCAAAAATTAGAGAAAAACTGCTTGTTTTGACACAAAAATATACCCGACGCAGATGAATTATCAAAATTATTATCCAGCCAAAATTTATCACGGATTAAAATAATAAAGTATATAATTTTAAAGCCTATTACATCTGTGTATTTCTTCATGTAGAAAAACACGGAAAAATACACAGTAATATAAATCACTTTTCTATATCAAAAACCTATAAGTTTTTGGCTTAGTAGACCATGGATTGGAGAATTTATAAATCACTGGTTCAACGTGATATTATAAAACACTTGCGGAAATGCAATTATTTCTAAATCACTATTCCATTTTGTAACGTAATAGTCCGGTGTTCTATGAGCATATAATTTTGTGTCAAATTACATAAAATTACTCGGATTTTCATTGTGTTTACCAGCTTACACAACAATTTAAAAGAAATCATATACACGGTTAGCTACTTTGAAAATTTTAGAGCAAACGTATTTTTATTGTCGAAATTTTTTTGGCAAAGTATCCACATAGTCGATTAGTGTAACGGTACGCATCAATTAATCAGTAACTAGACAAATAATATCCTTGTCCTTGTTTCTGTCCAAGTTTAAGTTGAATGTTAGATACACGGAAAAAAAATATATATACCAAATTGCCTTGTATTATGTGTGATTAATTCTGTATTGAAAAAATATAGCAAATTGTTCAACATCTAGGTCTAGGTTGAATTGGCCAAAAAATTTCAGTTCCAAAAATTACTTTTCCGTTCTTGAACTTAATCACTTGAATATTTCCTGCAAACATTGAAATTGCAACTAGAAGTAAAAGGAAAATTTATTATTGACAAACAATTTCTTGGTCAATGAACGTACTTGAACTGGATTTTGGTTTAGATTTATTTGAAATGTAAGATTTTCGCAGATTACGTCAACAATATAATGACGAGAAAATTGTTTTGTTATGTCTTGCATATTTCCTGATTGAAAAGTTATATACATTTTTAAATGGGAGAAAAATAAAAGGCTGATGAAAGAAAATCCAATGTTAGTATTATTGAACTGTACTGGTTTTGATTTGAGGAAGGTCAACAGGAAACATATTTCATTATAATACTTATTTGTTATACAAGATTTTTTTACTATGGTACTCAATAATAGAAAATTTTATTTTTTTTAAAAGAAAATCTGTTAATCGATTTGATATTTCAATACCTCTACGATAAATCAAAAATTATTATAAAATTACGAGTCGTTAAGGTCATCAGGAAATATATAAAACAGATCATAAACGACAAGGTTTTTCTTCTATATCAATACACATTTCATTGAAATAGCGAATTATGATTAGGAATTCATATTTTTTTTTTTTGTTCCAGGGATGCCGCTCCTCCGTTTAAACTCGGCGGGATTGACTCCTGCAAGTTTAATTGGTACACCGGAAAAAAGAGAAGGTAATTACTAGAAGAATTGGCAACAGGATTTGCTGTTGCAGATAAAATATTACATGCACTTCAAGATGTTTCAATTGTAAAATTGTATCTACAAGAAAAACTAAATTTGTCTCAAAAATACAAGCTTAAGTATTTGTTATATTATTATTATTTGAAATGTTGTAGATACTATTTTGTATGTTACACCAGTTACTGAATTATCCTTTGTAGTTTTTACCTCACATGTAATGTATTGCATCTTATCTGCGACCGTAAGTTGTGGGTGCTCGTTTGAGAGTCTAGAATAGTAATAGTTTTTCTTTCTTCTTTTTGATTCTAAGGAAAAAAATTCTAAGAAATATTGTAATTGTTATCCAGATGTCACACGTGTAATGTACAAAATTTTATTCTCAACCGTCTCAGTTTTGTTGAAATCCTTTCTGCTCTATTTCTCCTTGTTTCGTCTCACTTTTTGTTTATTCCAGGCTCTTGAATTTTCTCTGTTCGATTTTTGATTCCAAATTCAAGATTTTTAAACCGCATTGAAACTATTTACCATTTCATCATTCTAGTACTTAAAAAAGTTGAAATTTCCAGCGATTCTTATTCCAGTAGAGGAACTCAATCCCTGAAAATTTCAGCTTATTTGGACTTATAGTTCCTGAAATAAAATCTTGTTAAACAATTGGGGTGATTTATTAATTTTTTCAATTTTTTTGTGTGCCTTTTTTCAAAAAATCCGGCTCTAAATTTCAGAATAATTTAATGTATGAAGTTTGGGGAATCCCAAAGGACCATAAGAGCACAAAATCTCAACAATTTTTTTTTGAAATTTTATCGTTTTAAGTATTGAGGTAACTACCTTATGATTTAGATTTTGGAAAACTTTGAAAGGTCATAACTTTTTTTTTATTATAGGTAGAAAGCTGAAATTTTCAGCGATTCTTATTCCAATAGAGGACTACAATCCCTGAAAATTTCAACTCATTTGGACTTATGGTTCCTGAGATAAAATCGTGTTAATCAACTTGAGGTGATTTGTCCATTTTCCAATTTTTCTGAGTGTCTTTTTTCATAGATTTCGGCTTCAAATCTGAGAATAATTTAGTATATGGAGATTGGGGGATCCCAAATGACCATTAGGATACAAAATCTCAACAAAAAAAAATTTGAAATTTCATCCATTTAGTAAGAAGGTACCTACCTTATGATTTAGATTTTGGAAAACTTTGAAAGGTCATAATTTTTTTTCTATTATAGGTAGAAAGCTGAAATTTTCAGCGATTCTTATTCTAATAAAGGACTACAATCCCAGAAAATTTCAACTCATTTGGACTTATGGTTCCTGAGATAAAATCGTGTTAAGCAACTTGGGGTGATTTATTAGTTTTTCAATTTTTCTGAGTGCCTTTTTTCATAGATTTCGGCTTCAAATCTGAGAATAATTTAGTGTATGGAGTTTGGGGGATCCCAAATGACCATTAGGATACAAAATCTCAACAAAAAAAAATTTGAAATTTCATCCATTTAGTAAGAAGGTACCTACCTTATGATTTAGATTTTGGAAAACTTTGAAAAGTCATAACTTTTTTTCTATTATAGATAGAAAGTTGAAATTTTCAGCGATTCTTATTCCAATAGAGGACTATAATCCCAGAAAATTTCAACTCATTTGGACTTATGGTTCCTGAGATAAAATCGTGTTAAGCAACTTGGGATGATTTATCCATTTTTCAATTTTTCTGAGTGCCTTTTTTCATAGATTTCGGCTTCAAATCTGAGAATAATTTAGTGTATGGAGTTTGGGGGATCCCAAATGACCATTAGGATACAAAATCTCAACAAAAAAAAATTTGAAATTTCATCCACTTAGTAAGAAGGTACCTACCTTATGATTTAGATTTTGGAAAACTTTGAAAAGTCATAACTTTTTTTCTATTATAGATAGAAAGTTGAAATTTTCAGCGATTCTTATTCCAATAGAGGACTATAATCCCAGAAAATTTCAACTCATTTGGACTTATGGTTCCTGAGATAAAATCGTGTTAAGCAACTTGGGGTGATTTATTAGTTTTTCAATTTTTCTGAGTGCCTTTTTTCATAGATTTCGGCTTCAAATCTGAGAATAATTTAGTGTATAGAGTTTGGGGGATCCCAAATGACCATTAGGATACAAAATCTCAACAAAAAAAAATTTGAAATTTCATCCATTTAGTAAGAAGGTACCTACCTTATGATTTAGATTTTGGAAAACTTTGAAAAGTCATAACTTTTTTTCTATTATAGATAGAAAGTTGAAATTTTCAGCGATTCTTATTCCAATAGAGGACTATAATCCCAGAAAATTTCAACTCATTTGGACTTATGGTTCCTGAGATAAAATCGTGTTAAGCAACTTGGGATGATTTATCCATTTTTCAATTTTTCTGAGTGCCTTTTTTCATAGATTTCGGCTTCAAATCTGAGAATAATTTAGTGTATGGAGTTTGGGGGATCCCAAATGACCATTAGGATACAAAATCTCAACAAAAAAAAATTTGAAATTTCATCCACTTAGTAAGAAGGTACCTACCTTATGATTTAGATTTTGGAAAACTTTGAAAAGTCATAACTTTTTTTCTATTATAGATAGAAAGTTGAAATTTTCAGCGATTCTTATTCCAATAGAGGACTATAATCCCAGAAAATTTCAACTCATTTGGACTTATGGTTCCTGAGATAAAATCGTGTTAAGCAACTTGGGATGATTTATCCATTTTTCAATTTTTCTGAGTGCCTTTTTTCATAGATTTCGGCTTCAAATCTGAGAATAATTTAGTGTATGGAGTTTGGGGGATCCCAAATGACCATTAGGATACAAAATCTCAACAAAAAAAAATTTGAAATTTCATCCACTTAGTAAGAAGGTACCTACCTTATGATTTAGATTTTGGAAAACTTTGAAAAGTCATAACTTTTTTTCTATTATAGATAGAAAGTTGAAATTTTCAGCGATTCTTATTCCAATAGAGGACTATAATCCCAGAAAATTTCAACTCATTTGGACTTATGGTTCCTGAGATAAAATCGTGTTAAGCAACTTGGGATGATTTATCCATTTTTCAATTTTTCTGAGTGCCTTTTTTCATAGATTTCGGCTTCAAATCTGAGAATAATTTAGTGTATGGAGTTTGGGGGATCCCAAATGACCATTAGGATACAAAATCTCAACAAAAAAAAATTTGAAATTTCATCCACTTAGTAAGAAGGTACCTACCTTATGATTTAGATTTTGGAAAACTTTGAAAAGTCATAACTTTTTTTCTATTATAGATAGAAAGTTGAAATTTTCAGCGATTCTTATTCCAATAGAGGACTATAATCCCAGAAAATTTCAACTCATTTGGACTTATGGTTCCTGAGATAAAATCGTGTTAAGCAACTTGGGGTGATTTATCCATTTTTCAATTTTTCTGAGTGCCTTTTTTCATAGATTTCGGCTTCAAATCTGAGAATAATTTAGTGTATGGAGTTTGGGGGATCCCAAATGACCATTAGGATACAAAATCTCAACAAAAAAAAAATTGAAATTTCATCCATTTAGTAAGAAGGTACCTACCTTATGATTTAGATTTTGGAAAACTTTGAAAAGTCATAACTTTTTTTCTATTATAGATAGAAAGTTGAAATTTTCAGCGATTCTTATTCCAATAGAGGACTATAATCCCAGAAAATTTCAACTCATTTGGACTTATGGTTCCTGAGATAAAATCGTGTTAAGCAACTTGGGGTGATTTATCCATTTTTCAATTTTTCTGAGTGCCTTTTTTCATAGATTTCGGCTTCAAATCTGAGAATAATTTAGTGTATGGAGTTTGGGGGATCCCAAATGACCATTAGGATACAAAATCTCAACAAAAAAAAAATTGAAATTTCATCCATTTAGTAAGAAGGTACCTACCTTATGATTTAGATTTTGGAAAACTTTGAAAAGTCATAACTTTTTTTCTATTATAGATAGAAAGTTGAAATTTTCAGCGATTCTTATTCCAATAGAGGACTATAATCCCAGAAAATTTCAACTCATTTGGACTTATGGTTCCTGAGATAAAATCGTGTTAAGCAACTTGGGGTGATTTATCCATTTTTCAATTTTTCTGAGTGCTTTTTTTCATAGATTTCGGCTTCAAATCTGAGAATAATTTAGTGTATGGAGTTTGGGGGATCCCAAATGACCATTAGGATACAAAATATCAACAAAAAAAAAATTGAAATTTCATCCATTTAGTAAGAAGGTACCTACCTTATGATTTAGATTTTGGAAAACTTTGAAAAGTCATAACTTTTTTTCTATTATAGATAGAAAGTTGAAATTTTCAGCGATTCTTATTCCAATAGAGGACTATAATCCCAGAAAATTTCAACTCATTTGGACTTATGGTTCCTGAGATAAAATCGTGTTAAGCAACTTGGGGTGATTTATCCATTTTTCAATTTTTCTGAGTGCCTTTTTTCATAGATTTCGGCTTCAAATCTGAGAATAATTTAGTATATGGAGTTTGGGGGATCCCAAAGGACCATTAAGTAAGAAAATAGTTGTTCAGTTTTCACGTTATCAGCATTCATTCTTCAAAGCTTAAGCTTTCTAGGAAATAAGTTTTTATCACTCTGTCTCAATTCACTGCATTATTGGGGAGAAAATTATTTAAAAAAATGAAAAAAAAGCGTTTTATTGTTTATTTTCTTCCATAACTAATAATAATAAATGGGCAAAAGGGCACTAGGAGTTGTCCTGTAATGAAACTCCACCTGAATCAAAGCTAAGGCTAATTTTTGAGAAAATTTTAACTTTGAAGGCTTATAACTTAGAAACGGGATAATTCTGAATAAAACGATTCTTTGGATAATTTAATCCTTTATCGAATGAAATATGATTAGTTGAAATCGATCCAGGCGTTTTAGAGTAATGGCTCATTTAATAAGACCATATCAGGCTGAAAAAACCTGATCCCTATTAATTTTCTGTTTTATTTTTTTCCGGG